CCAAAACCTTCTGATTATTATCATTCTAAACTACATTATGTAAGTTATTGACGCTTTGAAATTAAAACCATCATTTATTCGAGGCTTATATCTCAAATATTGCACAGTATACTTGAAACATTAACTTTACTTCAAAAATAATATTTTTGACCAGATTTCATATAACAGTAGGAATTACTTATAATTCATCCAAGGCAATGAACCAAAAGGGAAAAATATGACTTAATTCTATGCAACAATTTAAAATCTGGCAACTACTACAATCAATTCAGGCAACTCTTCATCTATTATAAATATATTAAAATTATCTGCCCATTATATGAAAAAATACATTTACATCAGGTTTGAATGAATAATTACCACTTAAAATTAATACACTACTGTTTCATTCATATCTTATAACACATTCAAACTTTACAAGTTACAGGGCTGTTGATTATGCGACATTAGCCAGACATGATTGGCTGCGGTTCATCAAATATTTCCACTGTTAACATAGTGCTCAATACATCAATTGTGTAGAGCGATATGGAAATAGAAATATTGAAATATTAAACAGATCTTGGATCTTATTGTTACTCGGAGATTCCAGTTGTCTGAAGATCGCATAGCGTGAAACTCTTCAACATAGGAAATGCATCAACTAGTTAAAATCCATACAGTAAATGAACTTGAAAATATAGCAAATGAGTTTGTCCTTAAAGCAAAAACATTCACTAACTTTTAACGTTCTGAAAAACGGCCTGAGAACTTATGTATACACTTCACAAATACTTGAATGTAGGAGAAAATATAAAACCAACAGCCCTTGTAGCTATACTTAAATACACATTAGTAGGGATATGGGGCTGTGAGCCTCAGAGTCAATTCAAAATATTCATAACTTATATTAGTTTAGGCTACGGACAACAATTATTCATTTCACTTTTGGATACGGACCACAATTCTTCAGGTTTCATATTGATACAGACCATAATTGTTCAAATTTCAAATTGTTACAGACCACAGTAAATCAAATGATGGATACAGACCACAACTAAACAATAATATTCAAGAAAGTTAACAAAGAAATGAAGAAATATTGGACAAAATAATCCATATACCTGTAATGTGTTTAGAGTAAGAGAAAAGTTTGTGTCCAGCACAAGACAATAAAATGTGGTTTATCTTGACTATAGTCTGAAACATCTGCCTTTATTCCAGCCTCTGACAGCTATTTTGACAGTTGTTGGCTGATGTACAGACAGAAAAACTAGGTCCTGTTTTGTGGGGATTTTCTACATCTCCATAGGTGCAGGTTTTTTAAACATATTTATTCAAATCGGAAAGACTGACATTTTTCTTGTTCAGTCATACCATCATGATCAGCAAAAAATCCTCATCTAACAGGGCCTAGTTTTTCAACTGTCAAAATATCTATCAGAGGCTGGAATAGAGGCAGATGTTTCGGGCTAACTTGACTAGAATAATACATGGCGCTATCATTTTGATTTTCAAACTTCAAAATGACTAGACATAAAGCATCAACCCTTAAAAAGACTATACTGAATTCCATGATGAGAATGAACAAATGTAAGTGAAAACTTTCAAAGGTTAAACCAAGGCTCTTATTTAATTATGGTAGCTGACTTTGCTCATATCTGCTTTTATATATGAAACATTTTGACAGCATGAGTTAAGCTCAAGAAATTCAAATAAGTTGTCCAAAAGCTTAACAATTTAAAAAATTGCAGAAATTAATGAAAAATAGAAAAGTTTATGGCAACATTTCAGAAATTCATGAGTTCATTAGGTACACTATTCCCTATCAAACATTAGACGGACAAAACTGGCAAATAAGAACCCTGGTTTTAATCCAAAGAGCACAAGCAACCCTGGACATTAGTGTCTAATATATCAAATAGCAATTTAAGCATCAAAATCCACCTTTTCCCCCCAAAACATAATTGATAAGCAAGTCATAATGTACACTCTAAGACTTGAAGATTTATTGGTCAAAGCATGCTTTCTTGCCCCTTTCACAGATTATAGTTGGGCAAAGATAATCTGCTCATCAGGGTCCAATTCAAAAATTAAACATGGAGTCCATTTTATGTTTAGGCTGAAATTAGTAGTAATTAACACAATGATAGTTTAGTACTATCAGTGTTCGGACTCAGATTTTGTACTCAGAAATTTGAAGAATTAAAGACCCAGAAAATCCATTTCTGACAATTTTGAGGTGCCAAAATCTGTATCAAAATCTATATCTTTTTGATTTTATACAAAGTCACTATAAATGAATCAATCTTTTCTGAACAGAAAAAGGTTTTGCTGGGGCCCAGACACCACCCTTGGGCTGGTTTAGTATGTATAGTTTCTATAACTATTTATTCTACAGTGGACTGCTAGTGTTATGTTTTGAATCGCACCCTGGTGAACAGAAATATCTTCATCTCAACTATACTCCATTCATCTTCACAATATCGAGCTATTTCAAGCTTTGCTGGCAAACAATCCAATCAAATTGCTGCATTCTGTGATACAAGAATAGTGGTTAATGCATTCGAGGTGTTATACAAAGTTCGTAATAGCTTGACATTGTGAAGATGCACTATACCTTATGTAAGTTAATTAACAACAACAAAAAACAAACAAATAAATATTCTTTAACAAACTTAATATACACAAAAACTGTTTGATAACTTGTTTCAGATTCACAGCACAGTCAATCGAAAATCCTGTTTTCAAGTTCAGAGCTTAATATCATCAATAACTGCAACTGAGAGAGTAAAATACCCTTATATAAACGCAGATCTAAATTGTTGAGGTATATTTTTCATAGTTTCGAGTTTATGGGATACTTAACTGATACATTATGTTACCTTAATAAGTATATTAGTTATTATAAGTTAATAGTATATCTATATTAATGCTAAGCTGTCAGAAACAATGAAAAAAAATAATCAAAACTATTCATCCACCAGCAGTGGTTTGTGTTATATGGTAAATATAGATAGATAGATAGAATATGAACAGGCAGTGATATAGAAATGGAGATGAAATACCAGATGATTCTTAAACTGTACTTAAAGCATATGATATTAGTATCAAAAATGTTGCAAGAGTGTTGGCTGGGGTTTCAAGAAGTGTTCGACAAAGGTCCAGGCTTATTAGTCTTATATATAGCCACTTAGTATCTAAATCCCAAATTCTTCTGTAAAATTCTTGACATACGCCGTCCCAACACATGGATCTTAAAATTCCAGACAGAAGGTTGAATATTGGTATATGCAGTCACAGGTGCAGTAAGTTCAGAGTCTTAATAAATTAATATTTCAGGTCTTGTCTTGAAAGAGTACTTGAGAGATGGAATCTTTGTAAAATAGGGTTGTTTCTGTTGTTCTCTCCTACTCTTTCAGAGAGAATAATTCAAAAATGAAAAATAAAATGAAAAATGACTAAATTACAAGAGAAATAATACAATGTTAAATACAAGTATAGTCCAGCAAAAATATCGGCAAATCCTTGGTTAATTTAAAACAAACTCGACCAGTCCACTCAATTTAGAGGTAGTGTAAGAAGCACTAAATATGCTAGATGCTTAGCCTGCAGTGTCTAAATATCCCTTTATTCTACCTTAAATTCAAATAGACTGACTGTCTGCATGTTTAACTTTTCCAGATTGGCACAAATATTTTTGCTCCATAAAACTTCAGTTTTCACAGGGCCAGCCTTTTAATAATAATATTATTAGATATTTCATTTTCATTTAGTTGGAACACTTAAATAAAGTACAAACACTATACTTGCTATTATACAAAGGCTATTTACCACAGCATGACTATTGTATTTATGAAAGGCGTAATTATTTAAACATTAAATCAGGGATCAATTAGATTTATTTCAACTGACTGTATATTTTTGCAGTTCAAATCTTATCATGAAAAGTGAATCTTAAAAATCAGAATTCTAAACGGTCATCGTAAGATTTTTTGTGAAATGAGTTCCAAGGTTGAATTAGACACCTTCCTCTGATAATATATAAGTATAAGAATTTTTGTAGCAAAAGGCAAAATAGCAGACACAAAATTGAAGAAAATTGGCAAATGAAGCAAGCTTTTGTTGCTGATACAATGATATGACAACGACAGGGATTCGCTAAAAATATACATTTCATCTTCACAGCTCTAGATATTCCGTTAGCAGCCATTCAGTACATGATGTATCCTTGGTCTTGGGAAGTGACAATACTTGTTCTTCTAGAATAAATATTCCTGTAAATTCTGCAGTTCCAAAATTGTTGTTGTCATGGAGACAGAACATGATAATTGCAGTTGTCATGGAGATGTTCAAATCTTGATTTCAGTTGATGATTTAGTTCATTGTTCTTAGACTCAGTGTAAAGTTACAAGAACAGATGAAAGACTGTTTAAAATGCATCCCATAATATTATACGTTGTCATGACTACAGCATGACATGCACTGTCGACAAGATGTCAATACACACATATTTAAAACAAAATCACATTTACTTCACTATCACACTTTACGTACATGGAGCTCAAATAAATATTAGAGAGATCTAAAATAAAAATTCTTAAGAAATGAGTCCGATTTTTAAATTAACATATCTCTAAATATACTCTGAAATCACAACACTAACAGAGTTATCCCCCTTGAGCAGTAGTGAGATGTCACTGTAAAAGTCTGTGTTGCTAAAAAGAGTAAATGATCAAGTCTACCTCCATACATTAAGATCTGGTCTTCCAGTCATCACATTGATGTATGTATGTATTTATGTCATCCTACCAATAGACATTAAGAGTTAAACATCTGGTACATACATGGATTAAAAATAACAATGTTACATGTAGAATCTTGTTGAGGTCCTAGAATATCATCCATAATAGAGTTTAAACTCAACATGACTTTGAGTTGAAATTATGCTATCACCAACTGGAATCCCAAAAACCTCATTTGAAAATGAAACCAAAAGTATGTTTAAATCACTGAGCATATTAACTCCCTCCATTACTGTTACGATGCTCCAAAGGAGTCTTTAAGTTTTCATTACTCGGACTATTTGTAAGATCGGAACCATAGAGTTTGCTAGCTTTCTTGTTCATATTGGCCATTATTTGAGCAGTCATTTTATATGCGTTGATTATTTCATCCTTCCATTGTGTTATCAACACACGATCCTGTCAACAGATAAATAAAACGTAAATAAGACGATAAAAATATTCAATTAGCATTTAGCTTTTCATTTTTGTATGTACTCTCTTTCATCAGAAGTTTTCTTAAATCATTTTAAATTTTTCAAAAATATTGATAAAAAATTAGAAGACAATGAAAATATCCAAATGGAATTTGCCAGATTTAACTGGACTCAAATATCATCATTTGAACAAAACAAAAACGAACGGAATCTGCTGTAACAAGCACAAACTTATGTGATATATATCACAGTGGCTGTGGAAGATTAAAGATACAAACATAACAAACTCATATGAAGATAGAATCCATCATATGAAAGTAGCTCATATATTATTTTAAAAATTTGTAGACTTACAGGTGAGGTAATTGCTAGTTTAGCATCTGTTTTAAGAACTAGAACTATACAATTTTCTGTTTTATTCTGCTTTTGGAAATCATTATAAACTTCTTTTAGATCTAACATCGACACTAACTGAAAAGACAAGGAACAAAATCTATCTAAATGTAGGCATATTTTATATATCATATTACCCATTATTACATGTACCAGTATAAATGTGAAAGAATTTTAATAACAGCCTTAATATTTCAATTTTTATTCAATTGCAGACATACCTGACACCAGAAAGGATTTTGGAAAGTGAGAGAATTTTGGAAAGTGAGAGGAATATAACAGAAATTGAAGTTTATCAGCAACTATATCCAATTAAGTCAATGTATCATTATTATGTGCCAATTTGCATCTCGATTTTATTCAGCAGCCGATAAAAGAACAAATTTGAACCTCCATAATGATTCAACACTAAAATTTAATATGAATTTATAAAAAAAGGCTAACCTCAACACCCTTGCTCCTAACAATTTGTCCATCTCTATTTTTATGATAAAATTCTAATCTATTTGGATAGAGTTTAAGGTGTTTTTTCTGCCAAGTTTGTAAGAATGGGCCACCTAATTTGAGAACTTCTCCTTCCACTATACAATCTGTTGGACCTAGAATAATGAAGACACATGAAATAAATTATAAGACACTATAGTCACTCTCAATCATGTCAAATTGGCATGATATTATGGGATAATTGTTGCGGTTGCCAACACAGACAGGGGAAAGCCGCATTTACATGAGGGGCAATAGCTGATATAGAGAATGATTTCAGCTTTATTTGTGAATTTGTTGGAATTTTGCAGGGGGGTGAGGTGGGGTTTATATGAAATGATATCTATCTTGCCCATATTAAAATATGATGTCTAGTTGGCATAAAGGATAACAAGTTGACGTGAAAGAATGACAGTTTGTTTGACACATTTTCAATTTTAGCCAAACAGTACGATGAATATATTTATATATTTCTCTTTTGACTTTAACATCCTAATATATTCCAGTAAAAATCCAAATAAATTGAAAATAAATCCATACCTGCATCAGCATCATCAATTTTTGGTTTTTGTTTTCGTTTCTGCTCTAATTTATCAGTATCACTATTGATGGCATCAAAAACAGTTTCTGCTACTTCTTGTTGCCATCGTTCAGACACAACCAATGGAAAATTTTTATATAATTCTTGGTCAGATTCAGTAAGCTGTAATAATATTCATTCATAATTCAATCAAATATTCAAAATAATTAGAATGAATTTGAATGAATTGGGAGTTTCCTGCACCTGCTTGTACCAATGAAGACTGGCAATGCCATGCAGTGTGCAATGCGAGTTATTAGACATGGGCTTACTCTATTTCAATTTCCAACTGTCCAGAAATCTTTAAGATGCACAGTCTGTAGCACACAGGGACTTGGTTTATTGTCTCACATGTCAGCTCCTCTGGCCTGTATCATTAACAGATGGAACCAATTTAGAAGTTATTATCTCAATATAATGCAAATTTCACATCAATGTCTGTTATTCCTGATACTGTTGTCTTAATGCTTTTGTGGAATATTTCATGTAAATTGGAACATCACAAAAATGCAGTAAAATTCAGTAAAACAGATTTATTGAGACGAAGCAAGAAATACCGCCCTTGAATATATTTCCTACCTTGATGCCCTTGGTATCCTCTTCATCAAATGAACCAATATCAAAAGCATCAGCTGCATTGACCTCCCCTTTCGGTGGTATAAGGGGAGGGGGATATTTCTGTAAATAAACTTGGGTCCAATCTATACCTTTAAAAAATGGATGCTCTTTTACTTCCGCAGCACTGAAAAATAAAGTTTTGTTTAAAATTTCCCTGAAGATTATAATTTTTGCATGACATGTTTTGTTTTGCTTTTTTTCAGATTATAATATAACAATGTCCAAATCAGCCTGTCAATAAATAAACCAAGTACTAATGATTGGAACTGCAAAATGAAACCAGAAATTCAAAACAACAAACTGGCAAAACATTGGTCACAGGCAATGATATTTTCAAATGAGGAAGTATATTAACTGTAAGTGAGTAAGTATTTCATAATGAAAATCCTCTTGCAAATTGTAATGAAAAAAAAAAATGAAACAACTCTTAGCGGTTTTGAGATTTTTTTATATGAAATTCTTCTTGAATAATGCAAGAATTATTGGAGACTAAGGACTTGATTTTGGTTCCAAGAAGATGTAAAAACAATCTTACCCACGACCTTTACACCCCAACCTTTCCTCTACATCTCTCTTTAATAAACCTTCTAATAATCCTTTCATTTCAGGTGTCATAGTGTCAGGTAACTCCACATTCTACAAATACAATACAATATAACATTATTCATATCTTAAACACCAGCTGAAATTAATAACAATATTCATTCATTTCAATATTTAGGTTACAATTCCATTAGGTCAGACCAATTTATTTTGGGTTTTTTTTTCTAATTTCTGGAAAATTGCAGTAGGAGGATCCAAAAAAGAACAAAATAAATTGGTCCAAATCCAAATCTCACAAGTAAATACAAAAGAGCATTTTGTATAATTATCAAAGGGATTGAGTGTTTATATATTTGCTTTACCAACTGATAAAAAATAATTGTTCATTTTCTATTGATATAAGCCGACTTATTCAGTAAAAAAAAAAAGAAATCAAAATGCGTCATAAAGTTTCCTCTATCAGTAATGTAACTTCGCCTGTTATATTGATCAGATTTTATCCTGAAAGATACTATTTTAGACTTTTGAATACAAGACAAACATCTCCCTTTGTTTCCAGAGAACTGCAAGGAAAAAAGAATATAGTTTACCATTGTCATAGTCATTCTGTCTATTTCATGCTTATCTTTAGTTTTATGCTGCCTAAAAGGACTGTGTCTGAAAAGAGAAGATAAAACTGAGTTATTGCCCTTTAAATGTTATCTTTCCCTCCTGAATATTAAGTAGAATAGTCAAGGCAATATCAAAATTCTCTTGAGAGGGGTGCTTGCACTACAGTTTCCATATCACTGAGAAAATTGGCTAATCATTACATTTTTGGCCCAAAAAAACTGCTCTTTCCTCTTTATGTCCTTGGTTATTATAACAAGTTAACATGTATTTAATTGCTATTTGTAACTCTGTAATTTTAAGATAAGAAAGTTATGATTCACTACAATTTCAAAGCACAATTGCATTTTCACTCTTATATCTAAGAAATTACATTAGTATGCTATAAGAGAAATCAACTAAGCCGTGATATGCTAAAAATAGAACACATGCATGACTCAAGTAGGACAATTGCAGTAGGGGGGAGCAGAGGGGGAGCAGAGGGGGCAGTTTTAGAGAAATCTTTTCAGTCCGTACTTACCCCTTTAATAATTTGTAGAGCATACAACCAAATGAAAACCAGTCAGCACTAGAATCATATGCTGTGCCTTTCTGTAAGACCTCTGGGGCCATATAACCATGAGTACCCCTAGAAACAGAGAATATGAATACTATAAGATTCAGTTATATCAGGGGTATATAACCATTTAAACAGCAAAATAAAAAATAATATTATAATTCAGTGGTGAAGAAATAAAGTATTTGATATTTGGGTAAAAAATTTTACAAGCTAAGGTTCATAGTAAGAACAACATTTTTCTAAAAATATTCATTGAAATATTAGAAGAAATTCTGAAAGAACGACCCCAAACTTCAAGTTTGAGAAAGCCACTCATTGATCTGTAAGTCATAGGTTTAATGCCAACATAGATATACCTCAAAAACGATTTAAAAACTTAAAATTTGAATCTTCCTGATTATAACTAGATGGCCTATTTTATAGAAGAACTAAGAAGCATAAAAGGAACTTACACACTGGCATGTGGTTTTTTCTTTGAAAAATCACAAGCTAAACCTAAATCTGAGATTCGAACATGACCAGTTTCATCTAATAATATATTGGCAGGCTGAAAATAAAACAATAAAAATATCAAAGATAACAGGAAAAAATGAACCTGAAGGCTGACATTATGTTTACTCTTTGGATCAAGTTGTTGTAAAGCCAGGATCCCACATATTATCATAATCTGGTGTGCTTTCGATTCGCTGAAACACCTCAAAATCAACAGTCTGCTGGTTTAGGGGTTAAGGGGTTGTCAATTTTTGTACTAATGTGAGTCGAAATGATCTGAGCTTGTTCAACAATCTGCATCATAGATTACTTAAAATTATGTATGTTTTCTATTGGAGTCCTAATTATTTTTTTTGTGTAGCTCAGTCTGTCATAATGTTGGAATCTTGATGTTATTTAAATAGTGGCATCAAAAATATTGTGGTCCTGCTTTCTTATATTGGTTTCTTCACCAAATCTGGTTGATTCAGTTGTAAATGGGTACAAATAATCAGGAAAAGATGAAGAATCATTCAGTAGAAATGATGATTGAGAATCTAAGTTATTATCAAGGATGTTCAGACTGTGGAAGCAGTTGAAACAATGGCTTGCTACTTCTATGAATTCCCCAACTCTTTTTGAAAGGTAGAAGGATATCAGAATTACAGTCAATGACAAAATAATTACAATAACAATTCAGATTTATTTACTAATTTTCTAATATGGAAATGCCAAAGGTACATTAGATGGTTTATTTTGATGAAAATAATTACTAACGTTATTACTATTCAATATCTAAATGCCACAAGTTCATTTACAAATATGACATAATTGGATATATAAACTTGCTGTTAGGGAACTATAGTGCTTTATTTTTCTGAGTTTTTTTATGGCAAATAAGTATCAGTTTCAGAATAGCTCTGAAGGTCTTGGTAGGTAAGTCATATTTTTACCATTTATTTTTCAGTGAAATATCATTTCAGAACAGTCTTAGTAGGTAGGCAAATTAAACCAATTATTCTTATGTGCTGTGAAATATCAGCTCCAAATAGTATTGAGGGTTTTAGTTAGTAAGTTATAGTTTACCAATTATTTACTTCATTAAAATTGTTTCAAGGCAAAATTGATAATTGATGATAATGATTTGTTGATATAAATGTAAAATTTTGTAATTGTATATTTGAAATAAAGACACTTCTCTACCCAAAATATAACATGACTATGTCTTAAATTTTGAAAAATCTAATTGTTTACAATCAATAATTAATATTAAATAACAACAATTTTACTAGAGCGAATTCTTGAAAAAATCAATTCTGTTTATAAAAACATTTTTCGTGGACAATAAGCTTCAGATATAGAGAGATATACTGCCATTCAATAATAATTCATATCAATAAGTAAATGTTAAAAGGTTAAATAGCCTTGGTAATTGTTTGTGAAGATGCTATACTCGATAGCAATTGAACTCTGCTAGCATCATCAAGTACAGAATCAATATAACTAGTGCCTAATTAATGGATTTTCAATGTCAAACACATCAAGCATATCAATGTGCTATAGTCTATAGTACTGGTATATCTCTCTTCAATATACCTCTTACTACAACAAAATACTTCCACTGTTAAAATTGTGCTCAATACATCAATTGTAGAGCAATATAGAAATACCACTGTTATAATAGTGCTCAATACAACAAATGTAGAGCAGTATAGAATTATTAAACAGAATCTGAAATATGTTGTTACTCAGAAATTTTGTTTATTAAAGACTGTTTTATTAGTGGAAAACTCATGGTAGTACATTGTCATAGTATTGCTCAACCTTGTTTTCGACAAAGAAGATTTCCATATTTTAGGCCTCAGACTACATGAGTTCTCATCACACAATCACTCCTAGATATTTGACATCTCAAGCTCACTAATGTTTTCATGAATTCTTTCCTGGATTTGCATAAATATGTTTGGTCAATTAGATTTCAGGGGTATAGCCTAGTTCTAAAATTTAAGCAAATATACTTCAATTGTTACATCCCAAGATCCTGTTCCTCAAAATATTATATATTGGAACAAAAATTGATAATAAGCTTTTTCATAAAATGGGACTTTACTGACGCCCAAGAATGGTGGAACTGCAGCAAAGATTCAACTGAGGTGGCCTGCAACATTCAAACTGTAGAGAGTGTAGAAAATTTTTGCTTACCTTAAGATCTCTATAGACAACAAATCTACTATGCATGTGTTCTAGACCTAACATCACCTCGGATGCGTAAAATCGTACTTCTTTCTCAGAGAACACCCCATGTTGTGATAAATGATAATGTAAATCGCCACCATTCATTAAATCTAGTATAAAACACAGTTTTTCTGGAGTTTGAAATGCATATGTCATACACACAATAAATGGTGACCCTTCCTGAAAAATAAATTAATAAATGCATATAATAATAAATAAGTCCAATAAATGGTAATAATTACACACAATAAATGGTGACCCTTCCTGAAAAATAAATTAATAAAGGGGCATAATAATAAATAAGCCCAATAAATGGTAATTATAACACACAATAAATGGTGAACCTTCCTGAAAAATAAATTAATAAATGGGCATAATAATAAATAAGCCCAATAAATGGTAATAATAACACAATAAATGGTGACCCTTCCTGAAAAATAAATTAATAAATGGGCATAATAATAAATAAGCCCAATAAATGGTAATAATAACACACAATAAATGGTGACACTTCCTGAAAAATAAATTAATAAATGGGCATAATAATAAATAAGCCCAATAAATGGTAATAATAACACAATAAATGGTGACCCTTCCTGAAAAATAAATTAATAAATGGGCATAATAATAAATAAGCCCAATAAATGGTAATAATAACACACAATAAATGGTGACCTTCCTGAAAAATAAATCAATAAATGGGCATAATAATAAATAAGCCCAATAAATGGTAATAATAACACACAATAAATGGTGACCCTTCCTGAAAAATAAATTAATAAATGGGCATAATAATAAATAAGCCCAATAAATGGTAATAATAACACACAATAAATGGTGACACTTCCTGACAAATAAATTAATAAATGGGCATAATAATAATTAAGCCCAAATAAATGGTAATAATAACACACAATAAATGGTGACCCTTCCTGAAAAATAAATTAATAAATGGGCATAATAATAAATCAGTCCAATAAATGGTAATAATTACACACAATAAATGGTGACCCTTCCTGTAACAGAAGTTATACATAGTTGTAAATAAACTCAATAAATAGTGAGCCACATGGAAACGAAATACTGCAAATTAATATATAAATGAGCTAAGATAATTTTGCATATTTGTTCAAAACATACATCATCAGTCCATTTTCTGTATAGGTAGTGTAAATATCACTGGACATAATAAGTCTAGCTTGTTTAGTGTTAATTTCTATTTATTTTACCCTTGGACAAAGTGAACTTCTATGTTTTGAATGGGACCTGGATGTAAAATATCTTTGCTTGCACAAGTGATCATTCTTAAAGCAATAAATATAAGTATAAATGAATAAATACAATAAATGACAACCATTGCGGGATATAAGTATATATATACAAAGTAAGTATTACTCATGATAAACTGTAAAACACATTAAAAGGGTCATTAAATTTTGAATTCAATTTTAGTATTAATTAAATTGATAATCAATGGAGCCAGTCAATATTCCCAGACCAAAATTATAGCTTTAGTCAATTAATCAATTCCTAATGATGTAAAAATAATTTTAATTGCTTGTAACCTTTTATTTATCTCAAGAAAAATAAGTTTATATTTAGTTGTATATTGATTTTATCTATGTAGAATGCTATTTATGTATGATTTACTTCTGTTACAAGTTTCAAACAGTTTATATCAAAATATTATGATATGGGGCTTAATTTACACATAAACAGAGAGGCTTTATCACAAGTATGAATGATATTGAATTCTGTTTTTCAGATTATGTTTAGAAAATGGTCCATTGTATAATAAAACTATTCCATTTGTTCATATACCAAGTTCTTGTTATCGAATCCCATGTTCTTAAGTTTTTATTTTGCAAGTTTTTTATATCTTAAAAACATTACAGATATTTGGAATGTGTAAACACAAAATGAAAATAAAATTAATTAAACATAAAACCTTTTTTCTTCGTTTTTTTTTTTTAAGATAGTTTGTAAACCATTACAAAAAAAAATTAGCCTTGTTTGTAAAGAATTGTGCTTTATGAGTGTTTATCAGCAATATGGATGGATCAGCAGACAAAGGTGACTTAAGGCAAACAAATAAAGCCTTACATAAATATCATTAATAATTCTAATCAGATTACAAAAACACACTTACCCCTGTACTGACTAATGATAACATTATTCTTTCATTAAGGGCTAATGTTTCACCACCCTTCATTTTAATACGTTTTTTATCTAAGCATTTCATTGCATACCTGAAATAATATGAAATTGTGAATAATTCTTTATTATTTCATTTCAAGATTTTTTTTTGTTCTAAGATAACATGCAAATCTGGGATACAATTGCTTTTTTAACATAAAATGGTGAATTTCTTTGATCTTTTGTTGTATAAACAAGTGGGAGGAGCTTAGCTGTGCTATAACTAGGCTTAATTTGTTGTTATAGCACAAATTACTCTCGGCCAAATAGCCTACACAATGATTTTTTTTTCTAACTGTTTGTATTTTCTAGAGTTGTCAGTTAGCTTTCAGTTGAATATTGCATACAATTACAAAGAAATAATTGGAAAAGCAATATCCTAATCCTCAAACAAAATCTCTCAACTAATTCTTACATTTTTCCTGTATCTGCCTTCCGACACCCGTAAACTTCACCAAAACCACCACGGCCTATTATTCTATGTACACTAAAATCATTCATTGTTAACTGAAAAGAAGAAAAATATTCAGAAAAATTGCAAACAATCCCAATCAAAGACAGATTACAGTTCAAACTGATATATTAATTTAATTCACGGATAAGGCAGAAGCGAAGGAACTATATAATCAATAATGCAATTGTGTATTAGTATTATTCACACAGGGACAATGATAATTCAAATGGTACTTGAAAACTCATCCTTTAGCTGTGCAAAACTTTTGACTGGGGCTGAGGAGGCAGTTTATCTCTCTGGCTCCTGGAATCCCATTCAGATATTGAGAAAGGACTGTTAAACTTAAAGATACTATCATACTTACATTTATATTTAATTCTAAATTTTTCCATTGACAAAACCTTGTATATTTCTCACTGAAATAAATACAAAATATAAAGTTTATTAAGGTCTGGGTTTGGAATTTCAAGTATCTTAAGAATACTCATTAGAAATACGATTTTACTGTCAAGAATTCTCACTCTGAAATGTGGGTCCCTTTCACATCAAATTTCTTGGAGTGAAGAGTGTTTATTTCAAATGACAACTTATCAATATTTCTATAGATTGAAAGAGGAAGAAATTCTTAATCAAATGGCATGGGATTGAAAATTTCATTTTGAATATTCATGGAATGACATTATTTATTATTGCCACCATTGGAGAGTAGCTAAGAACACATGCACTAAATTTTCTAAGGGAAGAAAATATCATCTTGTCTGACACAGTGAGATAAAATCTATAATTCACAGAGATTATTACAGAGAAAAGTGCATCAGTACTCAATCTTTCTACCTTTTTTTATCAGTACTGTTCAATTGATATACTTTACAGAGGCTGGTAATAAGCAAGGAAAGAAATCCTATGGCTTAATCAACCAATCAATTACTGTTCTTAAAATCTGGATTTTATCTTAATTGTAAAACAGGGCTCAGACTTTAATTTCATGTCTACGATTTTTATTTGCATTTAAGTCTACCATATGAGTAAACTGAAAAAGAGTTTTCATCTACCAACAAATAACTAGTCTATGATATCAGTTAGCAGGAAGTGGACTTTAACTTGTCATCTACCAACAACTACCTAGTCTGTGATATCAGTTAGCTGGAAGCGGACGTTAACTTGTCATCCACCAACAACTACCTAGTCTGTGATATCAGTTAGCTGGAAGCGGACGTTAACTTGTCATCCACCAACAACTACCAAGTCTGTGATATCAGTAAGCATCTACCAACAACTACCAAGTCTGTGATATCAGTAAGCATCTACCAACAACTACCAAGTCTGTGATATTAGTAAGCATCTACCAACAACTACCAAGTCTGTGATATCAGTAAGCATCTACCAACAACTACCAAGTCTGTGATATCAGTAAGCATCTACCAACAACTACCAAGTCTGTGATATTAGTAAGCATCTACCAACAACTACCAAGTCTGTGATATTAGTAAGCATCTACCAACAACTACCAAGTCTGTAATATCAGTAAGCATCTACCAACAACTACCAAGTCTGTGATATCAGTAAGTATCTACCAACAACTACCAAGTCTGTGATATCAGTAAGCACCTACCAACAACTACCAAGTCTGTGATATCAGTAAGCACCTACCAACAACTACCAAGTCTGTGATATCAGTAAGCACCTACCAACAACTACCAAGTCTGTGATATTAGTAAGCATCTACCAACAACTACCTAGCTTGAGATATCAGTTTATTGGAAGTGGACATTAATCAACTAGAAATCATCCTATAGTACATGGTCCAAATCAACCTGAAGCTGACAGGAATCTAATTTCCTGTCATCTTTCAATGTATCATATTAAGAAGCTTCATGATTTCTATTCTAAGTACAAGGTAGGGTATATTCTAAGTAAGAGCGTAAGTAAGAATGACTATGACTGTAGAATTAAGAAGTTAAGGCATTTGTTGTGCCTATTATTTCTATTATATCTAAGTTTAACCTATGTCAGCGCTTTTATAATTTCATTTATTGTTGTTACAAATACAAGTTCTTGGAAATTGTTTTTGTTTCCTTTTTCTTGTGCTAGTGTTAGTGCCCTAAGATCAACTGCATCAATTAACATACAGTACCTGTATTACTTGTTTTCTTGAGACTTGAGACAAATTGGAATCTAATATTTATAATAAAACGCATGTCAGAGTCAAATTTCAAAATCCAAAATTTGGTGCAAAAGACGATGAACATTCTTACCTTTCCAGGAATTGGTCAAATATATAACCCTTTAGTGTATTACATATTTCATCTATATATGGCTGGAAGACAAAAATATATTTTCAATAAGTTTTAAGAAAAGAATATAATAAATATATTAAATTGAGGGTAGCTGAGAGGAATCTCTGATTAAGATGTCAAGTTGAGAAATAGAGTGGAAGAGTGACATAAGATGTTGGGAGACAGTGAGCTTGCAACCGCTACAGATTATTGAAGTAGAGCTCTTTGGACTAGGTTTCAAGAGCTTCTATACCAGATGCCAGTTATAGGGATTAGCATAGCACTTTCTGGTTTTAAAACATTTTATCAACTATGTCTATAGAATAAATTGTGAGAAAAGATGGTTGATAATGAACATTCTCCCTTTACAAAGAAATCATGTTCAAGGTTTGTCTGTATTTGAAAAACTTTTTTCAAAACGACAAATCACATTGTCATGAAATTCACTCAATTTTTTTCTTTTTAAGATATTAAGGTAAAAAAGAAAATGGTACCCAGATGTCTAATCCATATTTATTAGAATTAAAAATAATCCAAAAATACACCATTCATTTCAGTGAGAATTGATCAAAATGTAGAGTTTGAGAAGTTTTTTGTTATAAATTCACACCAATATTCATTCTCAATGCATAAACTTGACATCTCTCCCTCACCTTACACAATATTCATTTTTTTTTTTTTGCTGAAATTGAATGGCCTTTGAGAATTACACAACTTATTTGAAGAAAAATATCAGGGAATTTTTTCTCTCAGTTTATGTTTATGAATAATAATTTCAAGGATTTCGATGTATTTGAAATTTGACACAATATTATCAAATGTGTCAAATCTTCTTTCCATATAAATTATGTGTAATAATTTGTAAAAAAAAAAATATAAATCAATGTTTTTTGTGAACAAAATTATATGTTATAAGTTGGATGAAATATAACTGAATCTTCAGAAATATTGCAGATTATTCTTGAAACAATGTTAGCATGAGGATGTCCTAGGGTCCTAACTTTGAACACAGTTTCTAGGATATTCTAGGGTGTTAACTTTTAACACTGTTTCTAGGATATTCTAGAGTGTTAAATTTGAACACAGTTTCTAGGATATTCTAGAGTGTTAACTTTGAACACAGTTTCTAGGATATTCTAGAGTGTTAACTTTGAACACAGTTTCTAGGATATTCTAGAGTGTTAACTTTAAACAGTGTTTCTATGATATCCTTGGGTCGTAACTTTTAACACTTTATGACTTTAAAGGGACAGGTGTGCCAATTTGAAGGGTTGAATTGAGTCTTGAATATATGTAAATAGTCTTCAGAAGTACTGGAAATGTACAAATTTCGCATCATTTCTTCAAAAATATTTCAAACTAGGAATTTCTTCTCTTCTATAAATAGCAGTGTCTCAAATAAAGACGACTCGTCTTTGTATCTTTAAAGTTATGTGGCATCACTTTATTTACAGGTAAGTACCACATAATTATTTGGTTGATAGAGCTGACTCAAGCGTTGGAAGTTTTTGTAGAAAATAAAAATTTTCTTACCTCAAATATACCTGGATCTAAGGACCGTGTTTTTTGAGCCTGTGTAAGAGCTTCTTGAACATGATTGACTGCTTCTTTTGTGTAGGTCTGAAATACAAGGTAACATTTACAGTCATAGTTACCATTACCTGTAGGAGACAGGAGCGCTGCATGTGCTTGGTGAACTTTCTGGAATCTCAAACCACCCTCTAGAAAAAATGTTTTCAGGCCTCTATATGGGTATGAGTATTCTGGACCATATTTACATATTTACAATAAACTTACATGTGATTGAGACAGAAGTTCCTTCATGATATTTTGGTCGTAAATTTCTTTTCCAGTTTTTATTCTTTCTTCATCAGAATCTAATTTTTCAAATTTTTTAATCTGAAAAGATAAGATAACAATACTTTAATCCATGTAACAAAAAACACAAGAGAATATATTGTGGTATATCACACTTCTTTAGTAACAAAGTATGTAACACCACACAATTTACATGTGTCGTCATCAGATGAGCCGAAGAAGAGGGAATAATCCAGTTGTAGAGTGGCAGTGGGTGTTTCAGAAGAGTAAGCATGACAGTTACACTATAAAATATAAATTTTGCTGTAAATGAATTTCCATTACTTAAGATTACAGATCATTTTTATGCATTTGTCATATGATATTGTAAGCGATAACAACACCAAAATTAATTACTTTAGAGAGTATATTTGCTGACACATGGTTTATCATTCAATAACAGCTTGAATGATCAGGCTTAGCTGTTAACACTTTTTAGATTTTCAGATCTCACTCTGGGTAATTTTGACAATTTACTATATATTCTATTGTGTTATTTTGTTGTATATTGATTGAGATATTTCATGTATATGTTATTTTATGTTTGATAGGACCTTGTTTTATGGTTTTGCTGTATTGATGCATTGTGATATTTTCTTTGACTGTGGGTTGGATTTGACTTTGTTTTTGTGGTTTGGACATGATAGGTTTAAGGGGACAGATGCATCATTTTGGGTGGTTGATTTGAGAGTTGAATATATGTAAATAGTTTTTAGAGGTACTTGAAATGTACGAAAATCATAAAATTCCTTTAAAAATACTTCAAACTAGGAATTTTACTCACTATTTCTATAAATGTCTTTTCTATATATCACAAAGTATCTTAAATTGATGAGTCGTCTTTTTAACATTCAATCGCAGATAGTTTTGGACACACATGGATTTGAAGGTTCACAATCACATATCGACCGTGAGTGCGAACACTATTACTGATTGGCTTAGCCAAAAAATTCACGTTTTTGAGACTAAAGTATGATCAGGGATGACTGTTAAATTAAATCTACTCTGTCTACTTTGTGTTCTGGCTGTTGAAATCTTGTATTTGTATTTTCCGGATGTAATATTTTATTTATTGTGAGATTCATTTAGACTTAGTTATGTTGGTTTAAATAGATGATTTAGTTTAAGTGCTGACAGGCAGCTTTCTGAAATTGGTTCTTAATCATCTGAAAAACCTGAAATGTCAACAAAATGCCAATAAATTAACAATTACAAATGTCACTGGTTTGAAAGTTATGAAAGAAGCTAAACTTGTGAAATGTAATTATCACCCATGTGTTAGCCATATCTGTAAAATATCCTTCACCATGCATTTTATAACATTGATATCCCGAAGATCAGTTAGCCTATTTATAATGCTTTTGACATAGTGGCATTTGTATAATTACAGGAACCACAGATACCTTACAGAAAATAGAAATGATCCTAATAGAGGCCATAAATAAAAAAGCAGAGAACAAAAATATGCACAAGCAAGAAAGTTCAGTTCATCAAATTTTGACAAAAGAATGCGAAAATTAAGAGTTGCAGTTGTATAGTAGTGGACTCTTCCAAAAAGAGTAAGAATGGTCTGCTTAATACTCAACATCTATTATATAAGTCAACATCATGAGATACAATCAAGTCAATTTATGCGAACCAAACACATCAGAAGAAGCAACCTCTTTAAACATTATAATATTTCTCTATTAGAAATAATATACCTAGATATACTAACAATATACACCTAATGACCTTTCTATCACCTATTATTATCTCCTGATAATAATATACTAGATAATGACAAGGGTGTGACGTCAAACTAGTAGAATGGCATGTCACAACGCACCATATTAACATTGTCATTATATATCACAAAGTTCTATAAACAAGTCTACTATATTTATGTAATAAACCTTTAGGCAAGGTAAATGATATGATATACCAGATATTGACAGTGGTGTGACGTCAATCTAATGGGCTCATCACAATATAACTGTCATTAAGTTTATATATCATAAGTATGCATAAAGAAGTCTACTACATTTATATATCGCACCTTTAGGCAAAGTGACATGGTCTTAGTGATCATACAACCCATGGGGCCAAACATACATACAATGCATAATGTAAAAAAATATTGTATATGTGGAATGTCTTGGCCTTGGCAGGTAAGTCTCTGAGCCCCACCCTTCCCATAAAATTCCTAAAAGTCACCTGAACTTTCAAGCCTATGCCATGGATATGAACTGTGAACCAGCATGATAACATGGAGAATATCAACTCTAAATATTAAAAACTAAAGCCGGACGTCCACTTGAGAGTATTTTCTATGAGTCTTCGCGAGTTACTCGCGAGAGAACTGTCAGTGCTCCTTCCATTTGAGAGCAATTGAGAGTAAATTTTATTGAGAGTAACTATCAGAGAGTTTGTGCTATCAACTAACGTGAGAAAATTTCAAGTGTCCTTCCTCCTTAGAGACAAATTATATTCGCTAGCTGCTCGTGGGAAGGGGGTGCGAGTTGCACGACATCTTGCCAGTTTGATTTACAACAATGTTGTTCAATAAAAAACGAATTGCTGCAGCTATAATTATAATCGATGGAAAAAAGAAACAGAGAAAAAGAGTGCACAAGGTCTTTTTGTACCGATTCGGCCAAGTTCTTCTATGCATCGTTCTTTTTCAGCCTGTCTCGAAACTCAGTCGATTATAGGAGACCGCCCCTTCCACTTGAGAGAAATCGCTCTCAGCAGTTCTATCGAGAGTTGGTTTCGACTGTCCAACAGTTGCTTGCAAAATACCTTCCACTTGCGAGTTACTCTCAGAGAACAAACTCATGCTATAAAACTCTCAAGTGGACGCCCGGCTTAAGAGATTTATTGATTCACCCCACCCCTTCCACAAATTCATCCAAACCTGTGAGCTAAGATATAATATAAACCTGCAAGCTCTGTGATAACATTAAGGATATCAAGTGTAAATATTAAGAGTTTGAAGACATCTCCAGAAAGAATTCAGCGTCAAGGAAACTATTGATTTATCATGGAAGTATTAATCACTGAAAGACTTGGTCATTTCTGAGATAATGTCAAGTTAACAGTTGGTTGGAATAACTCAGCGCCAATAATGGTAAGACTGTGGAACCATTTCCAAGGAACAATGGGGTATTGGAACAATTTACTAGAAACAATGGGGTATTGTGAATAGAATCTAAGTCAATGGTAATGTAATAAGTATATCTGGTTTTATCTAACTGAGCTATAATGTTTGACTATATGTTTCTATTAGATAGCAACAATAATCCTTTATTTTACTTTCACTTTCTCAGATAGATTTAGCAATCTCACATAACCTGGTTTCTAAAACACAGTCAAATCTAATCACTGTTTTAGATAAATAACTAGGTCTACACAGGCAAACACTCCCTGCACAGCACCTAATTTCAAACCTTTCTCAAATAATTCCATATATAACCCTGTCTCTGATATAGTTGATAAAATACCTATGCTAATTATTTTAAGAGCACTTGCCCACATCATACATCCACTGCACTGTGCAGGCTGCACAGCACAAAATTTCAAACTTTCTGCAATACATATTTTATTTAATTAAGAGATAAGTTTAGGGACTTGTTTTCTAAACACAAATTTAACAGCACCAAATTTCAAACTTTGAAGGATTGATTTCTAGATTAATTTGCAGAAAAATTCCCAATCTCTCACAACCTTGCTAATTAAGCATAAGAATGTTTAAAAGCTTCTACAAGTAACTTGCGTTTATTTCTTTAAAGACTAGTTGCCCACAAGCTCACACCCTCCAGCACAGTCACAAACTTCATTTTAGATTACTTCTCAATTTAGGCTATGAAATAAATATAGACCGCACTTTTCTTTCTGTCTTTTTTTTTTGAAAGGACTAAATGAGATGAGAAACATTATATCAAGGTTCAGTTACCTCATTTAAACATGCTCATAAAACTCATAATGCATTTATTACATGTTTTTGTCTGGTGCTAGTTAATATGGATAGAATAACCAATTAGAATCAGTATTTAAAATGTCATAATTCAAGTCAGTCACACCGCATCAGTTGATAACAGACTCTCAGATAAAGAGTGAGTTATGTTTATTCACTGCATATTAAATACGACAATCCAGCCAAAATCTAACATTACCGGGACCAACTTGTAATGAGTTACATCATAATTTGGCATGATTAGCTCCTAATTTAAGTGATGCTATTATGTGTGTTAATGGGTCTATGATAATGGCATCATTAAAATGAAATCGGAGAGGCAATCAAAACAATGTGTAGTCTCAATTTTCATGTTGCTGTCTGTTTTTTTATGTCCAATTATATTAATTGTCATCAGAACAGGTTTTTTTGTATTAGTATTCTTATTTTGCTGTATATTGTACTAAATTGACATACTAACATATTATATCATCTGAAACACTGAAAATATTTGAATAACATTCATTCTTTCATTAACATCAACTCAACTATGCAATTTATAACTATGCTTGTCATTTTATAATTATGTATTTTGAATAATTTTGAATAACATTTTTGAATGTTGTTTTAACCACAACTCAACTATGCAATTTATAACTATGCTTGACATCATGATCAACTCAATAGTACAAATATTGAGATATTAAAACGAGATCTTGACCAAAGAAGATGTCAACTCATTTGAATTAGCTTCATTTACTGGATTTTTATATCATAATTTCCAATGATTTTCAATATAACATGTCTTTCTGGACATGTTAAAAAAAAACATGTCCTTTGACCTTTAAAAATAATGGGAATAACCAGTCTAAAAAATGTGAATTTATTATCTTGACCTATTCCTAAGAGAAAAAAAATCTTGGCCTATTGGCTGATATATTCTAGTCTCTATTATAACAAACTATACATGACAGTAGCCAATAATTACCCTTCAAGCTTTTAGATTATTATTTTGATGAACGATAGTTTCAAAAGAATCACGATTCAACCTTTTTACTACATTGGCTTCTATTTATATATCAACTCAGTCATGCTTTTATTCTTGGAT